AACCTGTACAAGAATTTACAAATATCATTTTGAAGCAATATTTCATACACTATATAAATATTAATCCTGTTTTAATATTACACTTGTATACATATTTATAAAAATAATATCGCACAAATGTAAAATATTAAGCAAAATCTGAAAAATTTTAAAACCCCTTTAAAAGAGCATATTATATGAATTTCTAGACATAACTTATATGAGAGGTATACTAACTTTAAAAGTGACATTAATAAAACATTCTTCGATACATCAATATAAGTTTTAATAAGAATTTTAAATATACATTAATGTATGATTTATCATATGAAACTTTCAATAAACATAAAATTTATGGAAGCTTGTGATATAAACTAAACAACAATAATAATATATATTTTTTGCTCTTTGATCGTTTAAGAATAATACAACTGTATACAACAATTTAGAAATGCATCATAATAAATCATCCAATCAAAATTATATTCTAAATTTTAATACATATATATTTTAAAAATTTGGAAAAAATTCACAAGACTTGAAATAAAAAGACATTTCTCTTATTCATAAAAAATAATCACAGCCACTAGAATTATTTATTTTTTAATTAAAAAAATTAAGAAAAAGTAAATTTATAAAAAATAAGATAATTGCACATGAACAGACGATACAAAAACTATTAAATGAAAACTAAAGTGTATAAGCCTTTGAGAAAGATGCTGAGGTAATCAATAAATAATTTATATCATAATTGTGTATCATTAGGTAATCAACGATAAAGTAATGATCATGTAATATTACTAATACATTTACTTAGATATTGAATATTGGTCGTCAAAAAGTCATTGAACTATAAACTGGTGATTAACCAGGCATAAATAAAATTATTTTGAGTACAATAAATAAAATTAAAATAAACATCATGATAAAACTAAGCATAATTTAATTAATACTTAAAACAAACTGTTCATACGCCATTAAAATAAATAACAATAATAATAATATCTCATAATTCTCAACTCCAAGGGTCATACACTCCAGTTTCATATCACATTTTTTTTTTTTTCAGAGGAAATTTAATTTAGTACTTTATGAACTAATATAAATATTTAAAAAAATAATGTTTGGTATATTTATTTAAACTGACTATAGGACACATAAATTAATAAAAAAAATATTTTTGTAAGATGTTAAGAAGGTAGACTGTTCCATTGGATCTTGGCCACTCGCAACCCGAAACACAAACCCTCCTCTAAACAGTGTCTGTTAACATAATCAGACTGATTTAAGCTCACAATTTTGGGATTAAGAAAGATCTAAAGTAAATTAAAAATAAAATAAAAATTTTAGAAAATCAAAATAATTAAAAACTTAAAAATCATTCTATTTTAGTAAACAGCCTATGAATTATTTATTAAGATAATACTCATCATTTTCAAATTATATCGATGTTACAAGAACTTATATCAGAAAATTAAAAAAATATATAATATATTTATAACTGTATAAGCTTTTTTTTTTTTTTTTTAATTTTCTTAACAAACCATTTCAGTATCAAGACTTTTCAGACCTACTCATATGTAAACCTGTGATAGTACTCCTTTCCGGTTTTTATTAGGCAGGAACACATTGCTATATAAATGTTTTAGGTATATATGCACAGATAAGGATGAACTGAGTAATCCAAATATAAAATATATGAGCTGAGAAGGAAATATTTGCTACCTTATCATAATTTTGGAAAGCAGCAGGACTACAAATGTTGAAGTGGATTAAATAATTATTAATAATACAAATTCTCAACTTTGGATAAGTAATATTCTTGGAAAGATGAACATGTTAATACAGTGTGCTAGTCAAAAGTATAATGTATGGCTCTGAGAGTTGTGTAAAAAAAAAACTTTTAACAGAGGAGATGGATTTAAGAAGGTAAGCCAGTGTGTCTAATATAGATCATATCAGATAAGAGAAGGGATGGAAATGAAAAGAAATATCTTAGAAGTGATCGAAGAAAGAAGATTAAGGTGGTATGGTCACTTATAACAAGTGGAAATGGTAGATAACCGAAATTGATAATGTGATGGGAAGGTGAAAGGATGGATTGAGGAAAGAGAAGGTGGTAGACAGAGAAGAATGGAGCGGGACGCTTAAAGAGGAGTTTGGCTGAGTAGAACTTTACATGCCAGGAAATCCTAAATAAAAATAAACAAAATTAAGCACTAAATAGTGTCAAGAAGGTTTAACTACCTAAAATACTTGATTTTATTTTTACCAAATATAATATATTTATTTTTAATTTAACTAATATTTTCCCTTTATTTAGATGTCATATTAGCATTGGCATTGAAGAAAGTTTACTCAACTGCAATCACAATAGTTGACTCTTAGATTCATTAAAGTAAAAAAAAAATTACAAAATAAATCAGCTCATTTGAAAAAATTAGGAATTAAATGTCCCTTTTCTCAAAAATGGTTCTGTAAATTTCTGGTACATTTGATGTGAAAAAAATTATAAAACATAAACATTATTTTTAAATACAGACAGCTCATTAATTGAGCCGTGTAAAAATTAAATTATTTTTTCATTTACCTATGATAAGCTGAGTGGCCAAAATCCAACCATAACAGAGCTAAAGATATTAGTAGTTAAATAGGAAAAAAGCCATGGTGAGGAAATGCCTTTAATATGATATATACTTTTTATTGTCTTCATTGCAACCATTCTTTCAATAAAAAGAGAAAAACAACAACAATTGTAACAGAAAACTAAATGTATAATAATGGAAAGAATTAAACAGATACAAATAAATAACATAAACTGTGTTCAATGATTTGATCGTTTAGAAATATATCAGTCTTACGATTAGGTTTTTTTGACAAGCCTTAAAAGTAAATTGAAATTCACTTTCCTAAACACCCTGGCAAAAAAAAAAAATAAATAATGAAAGTTCAGTTTTTGCAAGTTGAAACATAATCACAAGATTACTTTTCAAAATTAGACAATGTAAAATTGAATTAAGTACAACTTTTAAAAACAAACTTGAAAAGGGAAAGCTGTTCATCAACAATTACAAAACTCAGCAATCAGCTGTTAATAAATTAATAATTAGTAATCTACAATTAGTAATGAAAGCTGTTAATCATACTCTTCATTAAATCACAAGCTAATTTATTGTATGTGATGCATTAAATACATGAACATATTTCAAATAATTTTTGAAATATATATTAATTACATGGATAATACAAAATTTGACTACCGCTGGTCCCTCCTATCCAGAAATATTTCTCGATTGCAGGAATGTGTATAATAAATTATTAGAGATATCCTTAATTAAAAATACTATAAAAATAAAAACTTAATAAAAACCTACAAAAATAATAAAAATGCGAAAATTAAGATAATTTCCACAGTATTGAAAGCACAGAGCTTATCCAACTAATTTATTTATTTAAAAATAACTTAAGACTATACTTTTTTAAAGGCAATACATTTACAAGTAGTTAATATATTTATATATCCATACAAAATAAATTATCTTTGCATTTTGGCAGTTTGAACCACAGAGGATTATTTCCTTATTGCATACAATTCTAAAGCTTTCATTTCTTTTCATATTTATACTGACTAGGTAGCAGCCACACCTTTCTTAGGTAACGAGACCAAATGGCAACACTTAGAGAGGGGATGAAAAACCCATTTGCCACTTTGCAACTGGTATTTTAAATTTTCTTTACTATTTGTACTAAAACAGTTTTATCTATCTCGGAAAAATATATAGGCATCGTAAACATAAAATTGCATACAGGCTATGAAAAAATTTTTAACCATAAATAAAATGTTTCAGGATAAGTTATCGATCTCCTTTTTTTTTCTACTCACTACATGATGTAAACATAATGAGTATCACGTAATCAGAGAAAATTAAAACCAAAATCTCAAATTGAACCCAAACCATTCTAAAAAAATATTTGTTGTCTACATAAGTAGACTTTAACTAATAAACTAATAATTTCGTACTAAGTTCTAGTATAGGTTAAAAGTGAGCACAAGGGCATGGAGCATATATTTATGTTAAGACTAAATATATCAGAAAATATTTAAAATATTCTATTTTGCAATTAGAAGAAAATTATGATTAATCAATAAGAAAAACATTTTTATATGATACTGAGATGATTGGATCAAAGTTTAAAAAACATTATCTATCAGCAGGAAATAAACATAGTAAAATTATAAACTTATACAAAAAATTGTTTTTAAATCAAGAAAATTTAATTTAAAAAGAGAATTTATTTAGGGGTTAAATTAAAATTTATAGTATGAAATGTACCTATTAAAACTTTTAAGTCATAATACTCAAAAAGTTCATTTAATGATTCAATTTAAAATAGACTTTAAAAAAAAAAAGGCCAACAAAACAAAAAAACAAATATAATGAATTCATAAATATTAAACTTACAGTAAAATTGATACATTATTACTCCTGGCCGACTTTTCCAAGATTAAGTTTGCTACTTTTAAAAGATTAAGTTTAATTAACTTTTTTAACAATTAAAAAGAATTATTGGCTGATAAAATCTCTACAGCAAATAATAACAATAAAGAAATGTTTTAAAACTCAAATAAAAAAATTAGAAATGATGTTTCCATACATGAGATTGATATTGAGATTCTAAAAAGATATTGAATGAATCATGCTCACATTTCTAAATATTAAGAAATAATTTATGCAAGAAAAAAGAAGAAATTTTTCAATTCTAAAAAAAAATTCCCTTATCAATGGAACCATGAACTAAAGATATTTTGAATGAAATATGATTTAGCGATCAGAAAAATATTAACAAAATTGTGAAGAAATACTTTAAGATTTTAAGCAGAATCCGCTAAAATGTACCTAGGTAAAACAGATAAACGGAAAGTAAATAAAATCAAGGGGGGATAGAAATAAAAAACCTGTTTCACTGGAAGATCATCAAAAGTTTTTTGGACACCAGATACTTGTCCGAAAAGTGGGCTGCTAAGGAAATTCTTTTGGTTTTAGAAGACCTGCCTGACTACCTGTGTCAATGGAAGAAACGGACTCCTCGAGAGAATCCAAATCCAAGGCAGACTCTATCATGGTCGTGTCTTGGAGCAACCTCAGGCGACTGGCTGAAAGATTGGCCACCGCATTAGTCACTTCATCCAGGTCCAGTTCTGCGTCTCGCAAATCACTGGGCCTGTTCTTTATGAAGTCTGTTGGGGTCAACAAAATCTCTTGTGGAGATTCTACGGAAGGCCTAACACAACCGGGCTCTGGAACAATTATATTAATATTTATAGGACAAACTGCTTTGTGTTCTAATACCATAAATAAATAAAAAAAATTAAGTTAATAAATATGCTATTAATTATTCAATAAATTATTGTATATATTTAAATTAATTAATTTATAAAAACACACTGCACACACACACAATGCAATTATGAATATTTTATATAAAAATTAAGACAGTGAAGGTTATAATCAATTACTATAGTCAAAATTACAATTCTTAAACAATCTATTAACATCATTTATGACTTGGATGGAGCAGTAATTATACTATTATCTTCATTTGAAGAGAAAAAGTAGAACCAAGAGATAGAAGAGAACCAATTATTTACTTTTAGATTACCTGAAGTATAAATTGAAATAAAATTTAATAATCACTGACATGAATAACAGTAAATTCATTCAGTTTTATTACTCTTTCAGATTGATTGAAAACTGTGTTTCAGCCTCTTAGCGTATTCAACAGATTGCTCGATCTTAAGGCAATAGTTCATGCAACATTTTTCTAATACCATCTGAGGCATTTATCATATGAATAATTTTCATCTCATTCTTTTTTTGTTTTAAGAACAAACTATTGAATTCTCACTAACCAGTTTTAATTATTGTCATTCTTCATAGTTGTTTGTAGTAATCACATAGATTAATTTGACTAGAAATTACAATGATTAAAACCCAAATGGAATATCAATCAGAGAGAGAATCACTTTATTATGATAAAATAAAATGGTGCTGCCCAATTAGATTGGGTTGCTAACAACACAGCATACTTATTAATCACTACAGACAATATTTAAAATTAATATACAATTATAGAGGATTAACAATATGTATGAACATAGTATACAATTTATATATATATAATTTTTATTTTTACTATTTCTTTCATTCATTTATTATCATTCTGTAATCATTAATCATTAATTATCATTCGCTTACTAAGAAAAAAATTCTTCTCTCAATGTAATTCCAGTTTTATCTTTTTGTCTCTAAGACATTTAATATCATTCTCTTATCACTGTTCCCATTCTATTGAATAACTTAGGAGATAGGAAAATCCAAACTTAGCACAAGCAGTATTTTAGTATTTTAACTTTAGCTAAAGTGGGAAATATAGAATACTCATCTTAAATTTAGGTCCAAATTAGTTCTAGAATAATTATTGATATTAGAAACAAACCAACAAGAATTCATTTATATGGATCACATTAGAAACTCAGCAAAATAAATTTCAAAATAATCATTAATCATGTAGGGAAATGGTTCTAAAACTTTATCCGGTACCCTTAATAAGCTAAAAAAACAACAACATTGTAGCACATTTATCCTTAAACCAGTAATATAATTGAGTCTTTACCCATTGTTGGTACAATTTTTACAAACCAAATAAAATCTAGTTCAAATATAATCTTAATAGTAAATATTACTGCCATGGCACACCTGGTATAGGCTTATGGCATCCCAGTTGTGAGAATCTCTGATATAGAAGAATAACCGGTGATTAAATTTTAAAATTAAAATTGCACACTAATTAATAAATGGATAAACTGTTGTTTAATCATTAATATTTTATTAAACCTACTACCAAATGTGATATTTAATGAAAAAAAAAAAATGATATTTAATGTGAAATTACTGAACACATATAAGTAAATGAGCGCATATTTAAATGATAACTTATTTTAATGAAAATATTTTGAAATTAAAGAGAAATTCTTTTGAAAAAAATATGAAAATTACTTTTATCAAAATCTAATTAATTCAATATTACCCAAGGAAAGATTGAGCTTCATAGAGCCTTTGAGAACTCTAAGAAGATTAGAGTTTTACATAAATGATTCTTCTTTTTATGGCTTTCAAAATAAGAAATACATAAGAGGAGGAAATATTTCTTCCTAGTAAAATTTATATATTAATAATAAGAACTAAAAAATTATTTTTCAAAAGAGTGATTTTATTTAGAATTTTATTTATAGCAAAAGAAAGAGGAGGGTATTACTGAAAAGTCTCATTTATTTTGATTTATTGTATATTGTTTCATTTTAGTATTATAATGAGAAAAACGTTGAAGAATCGTTTTATATATATATTTTTTTAAAGATCATTTGAATGATCCAAATTTATAATGCAATAATTGATGAACATATTAAATCCTTTTCTTTTGTCTCTCATCCATCATTTAATGTAATTTAATGATTAGATTTTTTTAAACTTTAATAATATAACAAATAAAAGATTACTCTACAGAATTCAACTAATCTACTTAGGTATATGAGTGAACTATTCAAATTGACTAAAATGATTAAGAGTGTAAAATGAGAATTCTTATACTCCTAAACATACAAACTATAAATAAAAAAAAAATAAAAAATTGGAATCCAAACAAGAAAGACAGGATATATGTTACTATGTAATGTATAGCGAAATCTTGGCAACTAACTTTTATTTCCTAAAACTAGATTTTTAAATTAATCATTTTAAGCAGTTTTCCATATATATATATATATATATATATATATATATATATATATATATATATATATATATATATATCTGAATTAGGATATTTATTCATAGTTGTTTTTAAGATCACAATTTGTGAATAAATATTGGGTTGGCAAATAAGAACTTTCGATTTTTCAGGGTGAAATAAAACTCAATGTATTAAAATTTATTTTAATCTACAGTATATTGACCATTATTTAATATGACTTTTTCCCATCTTTCCACTAACTGCATAATTCCATGTTCATAGAATGTCTGGAGTTTTAGTTAACAAACTGATCCAAGTGGTTTTTGATGTCCTGTTCCTTTTGGAATTTCTTTCCATTCATGGAGTTCTGCAGAGGCCAGAATAAGTGGTAGTCAATTGGAGCTAGGTCTGATGAATAGGGAGGGTGGGGCAAAAGGTCTCATCCAAGGCTCAATAATTTATTGCGAGTGACCAATGAGGTGTGGGGCCTAGTCTTGGTGACACACAACACCCTCCTGATCATTCATAACTCTGCAGAATGTTCTCCAAATTCGATGTTACTATGTTGGAAAGCTGAATTATTGCTCTTCAAAACCGTATGAATGGTTTTTTTTTATTTTATGCCTACATAAGGAATAAATAAACAAAAACTCCTCATTGCTTTTTATTTTTTATCTCCATTTGTAGTTTGTTTATAAAGGTCCTGATGATGTAATTTTGTGTAGTTTATGTGACCCTAAATTCCTGCTAAATTTCTTGTAGATAGCTAAAGTCGTATTGAAGTTATGTTTTGTGATTTTCGAAAAAAAATATCATGTGAGGAACCCAAACATTAAGCCTGGGAACATAGCCCAGCTTGTGCAAATGGTTTTCTACGCTTGCGTGCGACACATCTAGGGCCATAGCAATCTCTCGTACTGATTGGGTGGGATTTTGATCAACAATGGCCTTAACATTAATTGTTTCATATAGGTGACCAGACATTGACATTGATGTCAAAATTTCCATAATGAAATTTGGCAAATCAATTTTGACAGGTGCGTTCGGTTAACGCATCATTCACAAACACTGCAAATTTTTCTATGGACTTCTGCAGCATGCTTACGTTTTTTAAAATAATATAACAAAATATGCCGATAATGAATGATATTTTCTTCCATATTCATAGTGCAATAGCAAACACAATACTAAGCTAGTTTCAACAAGAGTTAACAGATATATTTGTTGACATATTACAAACAGGATAAATAATCCACCATAGGGATTAATTCATCAGATAAGAAGTGTATCATAGTGTCATAAAAATAAACAGAAAACCGAAATGACTTATTTGCCAACCCAGTACATGGATAAACGGTCTGGATAAACATATATCAGAAATGTTTATTTTTAATAACAGCCATCACTATTAGTAAGGGATGTAGAGGTTACATTGACATAATTAGAAATATCCAAACCTATATTGACTGCTAAATAGTTGCTTTTTGATCTGTTGCGGGTATACAATGATAATCTAAATTGTTAGTCTTTTATAATAATATTAGTTTTTACTATAATAAAAAAAGTTGTAACAACCAAAATTAAATCAATTAAATTATAATAGAAAATATACAATATATTCCAAATGATTTCATTTAATATCAGTAAAAATGGATACAAATTTAACTTCTTGAATATATTGAACTACAATTCAATAACTGGCTAGTTTAAAAGTGTGCCTATAAGACCCAATGTTTTTGTTTTATTTAGAGGCACTGCTCCAATATATTAAAAAAAAAAAAAGTAAATGAAACAAACGATCACAGAAATAAAACCATACCCAAGCAAATGGTCCGTACTATAAAGCACTGCATCCACACAAACATCTGCCAAGTAATAAGTGATGGTGATAAATGATGCATTAGATTAAAATAATAGCGGAGTTGAAGGAAGAAAAATTTGATGAGTTTATCAAGAACAATTATTAAACAATCATTCGCAACAGTAACAATGTCTTCCCACATGTTTTGATAATCCTAACAATTTCCAAAAGTTCCAATAGATACTCATTTGTCTGCATAATATCAGGCCTACATGGATTGATCAATATTCTCAAAATAAAAGCACTCTTTATCATCCTTGAACCATCTTCAATATCAATACAACCAACAACTTAATGCATAATAAGTAATGTTTAAAACAATTTTGGCATACAACAAATTCATTAAGTTGATATGGTAAATAGTTTTTTAGGGGAGAGTAAAACTTCTTCTGAGCTAATTTAAAATTAAGTTACTGAGATTCGATAATAATATTTTACTTTTTTTTTTATAAAGAATATTTTAATAGCTGAAAAAAAATATTAATAAGTAATTATAAAATGTTTACACAAACTAATTTCTACTCCATTATTTATAAGTAGAAACATAACGTAATAACTAGATAGTAATATAAATAAGATTGATTTTTAATGGCTGATCCTATTCGAACAGGATTAGTCTCATTCTTTAAGTGAAGCATTTGAGATAGAAAAATTAATTAATTCTTCTAAATAAATCTTAAAATTAAACTCCAACAAGATAGTTAACAAAAGCACAAGCATGAAGTAGTCTTTACATAGATAAACAATTATCCTAATGTAATGAGCAGATTCAAAGCTAGGCCAAAAATAAGAAACCCACAAGGGTCATGAGTAACAAAACTGAACGATTTTCTCCAAAGTCAGAGAATAAATAGTACTAATATGCAATAAATTAGCCATAGTTCAAGTTTGCTCAATAAGATCACAAAGAAATGCGACAATTTAAAAAAAAGAAGAAGAGAAAACAATCATAATCAAATCCCATTCATCAACACAAAATCAGAATCATGCGGTGCAAGTGATTAAAAAAATATTTAAAAGCTACTTTACATTAAAGATACATAATTCACATAAAAAGAAATTCCATGCTTTAATCAAATAAAAAAATACAAATATATATTCAAATATTTTTTTTTTGGAAATATCAAAAAATAAAGAGTACAAACGAGTTAGTGGCTTTTAAATGAGCTATTAAAAGAATATAAGATAGGTACCAAACTTACCAAACTGCTAAATTTGGCCAGATAATCGCTCATAGAAATGAAAAAAAAGAAACAAACAAAAACTCCATAAGTTGACGATAATGGTAAAATATAAAAGTACAAAACAATTTTTAGGCTCTCTTTGTTGAAGCATACTCTATTTTTGAGGGAATAAAAAAAAAATTAAGATCTTTTCAGCAGTGGTATAAGCTTTTACCGAAACTTTCGAGGTTCTGTTTGAAACTGTCTCAGCGATGAAATTTTTAATAAAAAGAATTTTCTTTAAATATTAATTTAAAACAAAATACAAATTTTGAAAAAAAACAATTGTTATTGAAGAATTGTTTCACCCTTATTTATATAATTTTATTTATATAAAACAAATATTTATAAAGCTGATAAATTCAATATTCAAGATCAACAAAATTAAAAACGTAAGTAAAATTTATAAAAAAATAAATATCACTAAATAAATTTTCCTATTTAAATCATACAAGACTTAACCAGTTTAGTCAAATTAATTTTTTTTTCTATCTGAAATCCTGACAAAATTTTGTCTCCTACTTTCTTTGTTTTATTTGTATTAATTATACTAAACTGGTGTCTTGCTTAATTCACCATAAAATCAGCATAGTTATCAAACTTATATATTTCAATGGTAAAAATATGCTGAAATGTTTTCCAAATCAATTAAAAAAGCTTTCAGATAATTTATATAATAATATATTGGAAATGACGCAATTTTTAGTATGTTTAAAAGCAAAATTCCACAAACAACTATTATGGAAAAAGGAGTGAGTAATTTGGTATTTAATTCCACATTTTTTGAAGAGATAAGGGGGCATGGAGGCCAACATTGATTCTTGAAGAAATAGTAGGCTTCTAGAAGACTCAGTAACTGTTCCATATTATTTTTGTCAAATGATGATAGACTTACATACCTATGCTGTCCACTTTTAGTATAAACATTTACTAAAAATATAATATTAAAATTTATAAAATAATAGTTTTCATACTCAAAAACAATGTTTTTTTGGAAGGTCCTAACAGTTATTTTAATGATTACTAAGCATTGCCATAATCCCATGAAAGATGGAAATTGATTTTTATTTTAAATCTATAGAGTGCTACCATTGGGTAGTTACTCAGCAAGTGTATTCATGTCATTATATCTATTATGTCCAAATTTACTTGATGTATTTATGTAATACAGTTGTAAATGTCATTAAGAAATAAAAAAAAAATTTAAATAAGATAATTGTTTCCTATAAACAATTAGGTAAGTACCAATTTGAATTATATTTTATTTGTTAATTAAAATTTTGAAGCATAAAAATAATCTAAAATATGATAAATACTAACAAATTTAGCACATTGGTTTAAAGATGTAGGAATGGACCTTCAAGACCAGACCTAACAGATTTCTTCGGAGTCTCTCTTCTGGATATTTGCATGTCCCAATGAAAACCTTTATGCACTGCTCTTCTCCAAACGTAATCAATTACATTTTGCAAAAAGAAAGTAGTATCAGGTATAACAATATTGTTAATTGATTTTGTTTTTTTTTCAGCTTATTAAAGTAGTTAGCATGATCAAAGTAATTTTTGAGAAAAAATATCTTGAAACGCTTCTATAAATTCAAACTTGAATTGAATTGAACCATAGCACGGGTATGAAAAATATAAACTGAAAAAAAAAAACCGACGAGTATCTTATATGTGCATCGTAATTAAAAAAAAAATTTAAAACAACTTCCATTTGATTGAAGAAAGTGAACGATATACATCACAAATTACATATACAAAATATGAATCGCAATACAGAGTAGATCTTGAACTTGAATGTAGCAGCAATTCAGTTATTATGTTAAGGTAGAAAGAAAATGTTCAACAGCACATCACAAGGACCTGGGCATTGAACATCTCGACAGTCAGGTTGGTTGTAATATAAGACGGTCAATCAAGAGAAGTAAAATATAATAATATTTTAAAAGTATAATAAAATTTATATTTACAACTTATCGACTTTTAATAGGCACTGAATTATTTCTACAAACAACCAGAAAACTATGAAATGAAAAATGTTCATACATGCCTACTAAAAAATATAAAACAAATTAAAATTATTTTTTGCAAACTTCAGTATAAATAAGGGCGATTTAAATAAGTAGAATAGACACAGGCTCAGCAATTCAAATTCAGCCATTTGTAAACCTAAAAAAAATATTTCCGGAGCCTTTGGCACTAATGATTACTGTATAAATTAAGTTGCTGAAAATTAGAAGAACAAATAATTTCTTTAAAAAATTGCATCGATATGCAATCTATCAATCTCTAATAAGAAACGAGTACTTGTAAAAGATTATATAATAATATTATTAAGAAAAGCACAACTAAAGAAAGGTATAATTTGGTTTACAAAACGATGAATTTGGCCTGAAAAAACAACAACAAAAAAAACTTAAAATTTAAAAATAAATGAAATTTATACAATAAAAATAAAATAAAAACAGACGAAATGAATACAAATAATAAAACAAAAACTAAACTAGATCCAAGTACTCATCACTGTGACCGATTTCAAACAGAACATCGTACTACACTAATCATTCATCGCTGTTGTTGCGATGCCTCGTGTAGCGGTCATGCAAGGGCGGGCTGGGGCGCCTTGGGTAGCGTGGCAGCGTCCTAAGGGGAGGCACCGCCCCAGGTGGCCGCCCCCTCCTCAGCGGGAGGCTGGAATAGCCGGGATAATAGTACATACCTTGAGCCGACGGCTGGCAGAGCACAGCTCCAGCGACTTGCTGAGGGCTACTCTGGCACCTGATGTCACTAGGCATTGCTTGTTTTGGATCTGGTTGGTTTGGTAGGCCATTGACCTGCAGAAAGAGAAGTTAAAGTTAAATGGTAGAAAGACATTATTTCGGGCACATTAAACTTACCATATACAAATTATTAAATATAACATACAATAAATAATAATTAATTCGGATCCTTATACCATAAACATTTTTTTTATACTATACAATAATAATTTGATCAAAAGAATAAATATTTTTAGAAGTTTATGTCAGGATAGGGTGAATGAGATATACAGTCTATAATGTCGCTTTATTTGTTTTTTTACCAATGGTTTGATCCTCATTTTGGCTTGTCACCAAGGCTAAAAATAATAAATAAGACAGGAATTTCTTACTTGAACAAGGCCAAGATATAATGAAATGCAAGTTTTATTCACACTGATTGATGTTATGAAAAATATATCCTAAATTTAAAATACATGGATAACCACCATTTGCACATTCAGAATAAATATTCATCATAATTATAAACTTACAACATAAAAAATGTTTTTCGGTAAGCGTATCAATTATTAAGTGAAAATTTCTTTAGGCGCGTTTTGCACTTTTTTGTGGAGAGTGAATTAGATTGATCTATCAGATTTCCAAAGTGTTAACACTCGGATAAAGCTAGAGTCGACTACTTGAAATGTTTTTACATATGGATTAAAATATCTCAGAAACTAAAAATCAGGCCTGCATACTGTAAGCGAGGAAATCGTTCAGCATTTCATCTACTATGTAATAGGCTAAAATTCAAAATTGTTTCTTAACGCAACACTGTGTTAGGCAGGCAAAAAAGAAAAAATAGTCGAAACCATATAACGAGTTTAGTTGAACATATGGATTAAAATATTTGAGATACTAAAAATCAGACCTGTATACTGTAAACAAGGGAAATGCTCAGCATTTCATCCTCTTTATAATGAGCTATTATGTATAATTTACATTTCATATTATTAACCTGGTTGATGTTTTCACTTCCATCGTGTGGTCTAAAGCACACACATTAGTAGTTTTTTTAAACTCCAATTTTATTCTTTTACTGTTGAAAGAATTAAAGAGAAAAAATAAAAGTGTAGCACTACAACCTATCAAAGGTCTTGTAGTTCAGTATTTTTTAAGGAAGTACTGTTTCTAGGGAAAGGTTTTGCAATAGGATGATTTTGCCAGGATCATGCTTAAATAGGAGTATCCACTTCAGAGAGCTGTGGGTCCTTATTAGGGTCTCTTGACCACAGATTTAATTCATAGCTGATGTAACAGAATTAATAATTATCCGCTATAGCCGGACTCAACCCGCATCATCGTGATATGGGCAAAGTGCCTTAATACATCAATAATTTTTTTTTTTTAATGAGTTTTTTCATGAAGTCCTAGCAATATCATAATATACCAATACAAATTCAACTTGATGAATGCCAATAACAAGGAAATATTAAAAATTATGTTCTGCTTTATATTGAAAGTTGTACAAATTGCCTTGGCCTGATTTTTTTCTTTAAATCAATAGTAATACTAAACTTGACCATTTGTTCAAGGCTGGAACTAACAGAAGAATTTTAAACTATTATTGCCAGTTCAGTTGTTCAATCCTTTCTAAACCAATTTAATATCCTCTCTGACCCGAGAAAACAGCATTAAAAAAGAAGCATCATTATTGAATATTCTTAGAAGGTGAAAGGACTTGGAGCAGCCATTATTACTTTTTCATCTCTTTTCAATTCCTTACTAACACCATCCTGTAGGTTCTTTGTATCTTGTTGGTAGGAGGTCTAATGTTAATAGGATTTCAGTTTTTCATAGTATTTCCAGAGAGATGGTCCCACTTTTTGTAATACAATAAACTATCTATGATAACTATTTGATTTGTATAAAGTAGTAAACGGAGCTTACATTTCCTTATTTATAAATGTCACTTCCTTTTTAATTTAGATTCTTCTGCTAAAGCATTTATTCTTGTGTTTATTGGAATTCAATATATGTTTATATATATATATATATATATATATATATATATAATTCTTTTTTCTATTAACCACCTAAAATAGAAAATTACCAGGCAATTTGCCATCAAATTATTTTTCAGATGTTAATTTAAACGCTTGATGGTCATCAGAATTTAAAAATGGTTGTTTTTGCCTTTTCTTGTATATCTAGAGATTTCTTGTTTCCCAATGCTACGGAATCATTGTCACCCTTCAGATGTTGGAGGAATCAAAGTAGTTCAGGGTTATGAAGCATGCGAGGAATGGTAAATTTTAAGAAAAAATATTTGATTCCAGACATAAAAGCATTCATCAAAATCAAATCCATTCTATCATGTAAAATAAAAATTATTATATTTCTTTTTTAGTTGTATTACAGCTCTCAGTTTAAATCATTTTTCAAGTACAGTTTAGAAAACATTTTTTTCTTCTTTTCCAAAACTACTAAACTGAATGGGTGAAAATTTGTAAAGCCATTTTTAATAAAAGAGGAATATCATGATTATGAAAAAAAAATTAAGAAGCAATAATTATTTATTGATGACAAATATTAAAATTTGAGATTTTCAGTAAACAAAATCACACTTATATATTGAACCAATAAAGATATTCATGGTCCAGATGGAAAATGATGGATATAGATACAAGACAATACAGTCAGCTGTTGTCAAACAAGAATAAGCAAAGTTGTGAAGCATTATTTTCTTTATTTATTATTACAAAAAAATTATAATTAAATGTACAGAAAGTGTAAATACATTTTCTCGCCTCTTTCAAGAGTACAGAAATAAAAAAAATCTCAATAAATCTCAAATTAAGTGTGAACAATTACCAGCAACCTAGAAAGAAGAAGTATATGGTTTGAGAGGAACCACTTATTTACAGTGACTGCAGTGATCTGGGATTAGAGTGGTAACTCATGAAGGAGAACTAATAAAAAAAAATGCTTACAGAAACCAGTCAATATATGTCATAACATAAGTCAAGGAGATCAAAATGGCTGGAGCATGCAGCTCGAGGAAATCTGACAGGAAGCACCTATACAACAATGAATGCTACAATAGTTGGCAAGAGACCAAAAGCCAGATGCATTGATAGAATCAACTAAGATGTCGAAGAGCACTAAACTGGAAAGCAGTAGCCCAAGATGGTCAGAGAAGGAATGTTAAGAGGAAGAAAAGGATAGTTCAGGTGGCCTAAGGTCTACAAGTTCATAATTAAAGTCAACAGAAAAAATGTATTTCCTTCCATTTAAAGTATATATATAAAACATATGATTTTAATGAAGAAACAAAAAAAGAAAATATTTCCTGACATTTCAAATATTTATCAACCATATGATTATAATGAAAAAAAAAAAAACAAAGAAAGAAAATAATCAATTAATTGAAAACATAGAAGTGAAACTTTGCTATATCAGAATATGTTGAAAGAATTTAATCTTGGGGTATACAGTTTTCTTTTAAATTAAAACGTGGTAAATATTTTTTTCCTATAAAAGGTGTTTTTTTAAAAATAATTTTATAACTAGTAGGCCCATGCGAAAAATTCGCACAGCATATTGTTATCAAATGCCAAATTAATAGGAAAATAAAATAATGCAACGTATCAAAAGATAAAGAAATCAATTGTTACTTTATCCATAAATATAATCCACAAAGGAAACAAAATTAATTTAAACCTTCATTTTTGTTTGGAACCAACATATTTACAAATTTCAATAAGCTGTATCTTTGCGAAAAATTGTCCGATTTCAATGATTTTTTTTTTCCTTTTGTAGACAATTAAGTAATGTTTTATATAATCATGGGAATGACCAAGGGAAAAGTGTGTAATTTTTTAGTTATTCGCAAATAAAGTTTCTTTTTTTTCATAACTTGTTTGCCTGAATTTTCGGGGTGATTGGAATATTTTTCCTGCCTGAAGGAGAAGGAAGCCTTCGAAATTGGTGGCTCAATCTTGAGATTTGGTGAAAAATTAACGATGGTATGGCTTACCGATCAAAAACATCATCGATAAATAATATTAACTCCTCCTGTCTCGATCATAGAGACCTCAAGTCGACGAAATGAGACATGTATTCAATGACAGTACTACAATTAACATCAGGTTGTGTGGATGCGAACCCCATGCCTTGCGTTATCTCGAAAATGGTACGTTTTTGGCTTAAAAACGCAGGATCCGATAGTTCCGGAGGAACTATCCGGGTCTTGCTGTACGCATCAAAATCTTCAAGGTCCAATTTGTCCCGCATCGATCTACAGACCTACCACCGTTCCAGTAGTGAAGCCTAGCAAAATGTTTGTATCGACTTTATTTATTTTAGAAAGAAAAACAAAAGCGGAGAATACGATTCACTAACCCCCCGTGAAATTCTGAATCCAACGGTACCCTATTCATGGTATTTGAGCATGACAGGAGCTTATATTTGGTACAAAACCGATTTCGAGCCTTACTGTAATAATATATGTACGGATAATATCTATGTCTCGTAATGGGAGCAGAGCCTCTAAACCGGATTAATTGTATTGAAATCACTTAATTTTTATGTTTCCTGTATTTTTTAAAATTTAAAATTGATGACTATAACATTCACATACCATATTTTTCAAAAATTTTCTTTGAAATAAAAAATTGGATATGTAATAGCATAAAGAGTAACTTCTGTCTAGATAATCCAGAAATAAAAAAAACATAAAGGAAATAACTATAGCATGAAATAGTGTGCACAAAGCAGGTAATTATTAGCAATACTCCAAAAAACCAACTCTAGACCTGCAACAATCCATCGATGGCTGGTTACCAATCGACATAAGTATCAATGTTTTTCGATATTATAACATTAGTGTCTTTTGCCGGGAGGAAATTTAGCCCTCACAATATTAACAAAAGTACTTTGCGATTTATCACTTACAGCAGGGGATAATTAAAAGTATAAATAAATAAAATAAAAAAAAAAATTAAATTTAAAAAATCATAGTATTCAACATCAGTGGATAAGAACACAATAAGAGCTTTCTTCATCTCTTGAAAAAAAAAAAAAAAAAAAAAAAAATGGCTATGGCTACGGTCTACCTAAAGCTCATTTTAATTAAATATAAATACTTTATTTATTCAGTTACAGTAATTTCTATTACTTTAACTAGAGTTAAAAGATTTGACTTCAAGAGATACAAAAAACTGAATATACAAAAAATGCCCAAGAATGTATCATCGGCAAAAGTTAATTAAAACTTAGGGTAAATCTTCAATTTTGTTAAAATTCTATTTCTTTTTTATTTTTATTTTGCACAATAATCTGTGGCAATTCTAAGAATCCTCAATGGGCTTATAAATTCCTCTTTTTGGAGTATAAAATAACTGCTTCACTAGTTAGACTCCATTGCTATGACAAATCCATTATTGCAAAATTTAATTATCCATAATAATTGTAACTGTTATCAAACAAAGTAAATTAAAGAAATATCACGATAAATTTTAAGCTTTGGGTTTACAGTAATGACTGAGGGCATTAGCAGATTTTTCTTGGTATGAATATAAAACTATATTAGTTTTATGAATTCAAGATTTGGAGTGTTGCAGGTTTAGATTCAGTATTCTAAAAAATTACGTAGTTAAGTAATGGAAAAAACAAAACAAAAAACATACATGTATATTTCTAAAATTTATTTATAAGTTAATTCTTGTTCCGAGTATAACCAGCATTGATTTCTTCTTTCTTTATTTGATTAAAAGATGAAATAGAATTCTTGCTGGATTCTTTGGACTGGAATAAAAATGGAAAAAGTCTGCATTTTTTTTTTAAAGTATAGTTGGAAGGTTTATAAACCTAAAAACACAAATGAATGTTGAATTTAAGAGACAAATACTATCAGAATTTTAAGCAACCAACCTCCCTTGACAGCTACAGAGCGCATCAAATACAATACATGAACATATTTGAAATATATTTTATTAAAGATGGTGTAGCTATTATAAAAACCTATTCAATTATTCTGCAGAGAAAAGGTGAGGTTGTCAAGGCAGTCCACTACTGGCTAGGACACACAATATAATTTGACGTCAAGAAAAATCATCAAAGAAACTTGAATTTTATTAAAAGATGCTATGGTAAATAAATAATATTACACATACGAACACACAGGTATCTTTATGGTTCAAAGAGTGGTAAAAATTTAATAGATAATAAACCGAAGTTCAAGGCTATCTTTCCTAGCCCATTAAAAATGATCTAGTAGATAAAGAGATCATAGAGAGGAGTATATTGAACTGCTGACATTAAAAATCAATAACAAATTTGATAGCACTCAGTCGGATTTTTTTATAGCCACACCACCTTTAAGCTTGACTTTAAAAGTGAATAAAAAATTCATATTTAATTAATTACTTATCATGAATTTCTAAAATATAATAACTAAGCAGCATACTTCTTATGCTTCACGAAACTTATTTCATCCATAATAAATGATAGACAGTAAATGTTATTAATTAATAAATATTTTAGTGATAGTAGTTCATTGACTATGCAATGTTTCATAGGTGATAAATAAGCAGGACTGGATAATTTTTGATAGTGTTTATTGCTTATGTTTCAACTCTATTATGCGAACCTATTTTCAAGCCAAGTATTCACTGCTGGAGTTCTTAGGAAATTAGTATCTTAAGAACTCTAGCAGACTAAATTTGTCCTGAAGATGGCCCACATGATTGGGTTGAAACATAGGCAATAAACACTATCAAAAATGACACAGTCCTGTTTATTTATCACCTAAAATAAATATTTAAAATGTGTTAATGATTTAAGCTACAAATGAAAGAGCATTTGCTATCGTCCCTTGATGATATCAAGCAAACTTTGATGTCAAAACCATTTGCCACTACAATTACCACTTCTTTTGATTTATCAAAATCAATTTTAGAGTAAAAAGCAGGCTATTCAATTTAAATAAATGAATCAGAATAACTTAACAGAGAAGAATCAGATTGAGAACAGAAATTCATTATTGTTTTATTTAATCTATCTTAAAATATACAAGTTGGGCCTAATCCTTTTGGTGTCTGTAAAATAAAGTTCTACTAACTTAATGTATTTTCTTGGAATAGGCAGAGTAGGGGGTTGGAATTGAGAGTTGGATCAAGAAAAAAATCATTGTTATTTACTTCTTGATATAAACAATTAATTGCTAATAGTGAATTACTTCTTAGTAGTTTAGAAAACATTCAACATTCACTACAGTATTCAAGTGATCATTTCAACTTCCATTATTTTAATATTTATATTTTTAAAGATTATAAGTTTGAGATGAGACTTAAAATCCTCTCTCAGAGCTTATTAGCTAGCATTTAAAATTTATGCTACCATTTAAATAGAGAGAAACATCTGAAAAATGAATTACTTAATCAGATATAAAAAAATCTGGTGTGCACAACATACAACTTTCACTTATCACTCAACTTTGAATAGAAATTATTTTCTGGCCCATGTTGGGCTATTATAAAATTTTTGAATTGCATTTTAAACCAGCTAAAGATTAAAGCTAACAAATCATAAATACCACTAAAATAACAAAAATCCTATTTATTATATCACCGGTTGATTATGATGATGATGGATGGGTTGTACAATCCATTGATTATGTATTGTAGGACTATTAGTTATTAAACAGTTATTTTCCATTGCAAAGTTTACTAAAATGGAATTATGAGATTTGCACTGTCTGTCATAGACTGGTCAAAAGTTGTCACTAATTGTAAGTGGATACTGTAGGGAAATCACAAAGCAAAAATTCATCAAATTATTCACCAATTTAATTTTCTAAAAGGTTACATGATGATTTTTCCGAATAAAGCGACGATAGATGTGATTTCCATTAAATAATATTAGTTTGCAAAAATTATTATTCATAATTTTTAGTCACACTCCATTACTTGTTATGACTTTCTATATTAGATATTGTTTTTTCTAAAATTCTCTGCTTTCCAACAATATATTATATGTATACCTTCTGATTAGTATTTCTGGTGATTCATTTTTGACCAGAAATAAATCGATAAGCATTTTTATTTTTTTCTCCAGTTTCAAATTATCTATTCTTTCAAACTTCATATTTAGCCATATTTTACAGTTAATGTCACTAAAAGGGAGTTAATTTTTTTAAAATAAACCATATTAAAGATACTTTAGAGGGAGATATATATGAGCATTGGGCATTTAAGCCCAATAAGATGACATCAATGGGTATAACACTTAAATGATAATAGAAACCACTTAATTATACAATGATACACTGAGTATAATCAAAATTGTTAAAGCCGTTTTTGAGGAAATTGTAAAAATGTGTATGACCGTTGATATAAAGTCGCACTTCCGGTTGGCTAATTTTAACGAAAAAGTTGCTGTTACATCTGAGCCATATACAAACCTTAAATAAGTAATATCAGTTTCGTAATTTTCGTTTTTGAGCTAGACTATTCATACACAAACACACACACACACACACACACACACACACAGACCATTTGTGAGACTTGGTTATTTGGACTCACGGGACATCAAAACGTGTATTTCTGTTGAAAACTCAGATTAGAAAATTTTCACGATCGCAATACTTTCCCTTATTATATATTACATATACGGTAAGTGAAAGTAAAATGTAATATCTGCATCACTCAAGATGCATGCAGTGGGCAAAATGTTTACTGGTTTAGTATAAAAATTAATCTCAGAGGTTTGAGGTTTTTAATATTAAGTCTTTCTAAAATACTTTAATAATTACAGCGTTGATCCTGCATTTACAGTTTAAAAGAAGTAAAAAATTTCCAAACAACATGAACAATATTAACACCCTGTATAGCTAAAAAAATCATGAAAATAATTTTTTATCATACCTGTGGTTGTGGAGGATGAGGAACAGCACCGTAAGTCCGGTTATTTGAGATAACAGTACTTTCTTTTGCGAGACTTTCCCAAACTTCAGGAGGAACCATTCCTCGTCTATCTATATGAAGGGAATCGATATTAATAATATACTCTATACCCATCATATATTCAACAATGAGATCCTCTAACAAACCTAACAAAATTGTTAAACTGAATTGAAAAAATAAATGCAGTTTGAAGTTTTCAAGAACTAGGAATAATGGAAACCAGTAAGATGTCAACAACAAATCCTAAGTAATTCAAATAAGAAAAAACAATATTTACTCTTGTAGTATTCCTAGTTTTTCTTTATATATCTGATCTTGGCAAAACATCTTTGACGCACATAAAATGGCCAAAAAGAGGCTATTCACAACACAAAATTAATTGTGAACTCATAGAAGCAAATGTTTGAGATTTCCTTAAAACCTATAGCTGATAAAAATAAGCCTTTGTGAGGAATTAGAATTAAGTGAACGGATTTGCATGTGTAATGTTCATCACTAATCATACTGAAGATTCATTACCACTATTTTTGCAGATGCAGATTTTCCATTCATAATAATGGAAACAAAAAATACAAACCTTATTTTTTTTTTTTTTTTTTTTTATGACAACTTTTCATTTAAATAACATCCATACAAAAGTAAACTATCACATCTCAAAATTGACATACAAAATATTTATCATCAATCAAATTTTATATTATGAAGTGCGAAGAGTACTAGTAGAAGACTACTATAAAACTTGTATATACAGATTTTGTCTTTATAATGATCTTCTAAATAAAATATTCACACTTCATAACATAAAATTTCATGAATTTTATATTATAATTTTTGAGATGTGACAGATATATTTTGGATAAATGATATAAAGTAATCAAAATTAGTGCACCAGCTTAATATTTATGCAGAAATCTTATTTAATAAAGCTAGCTAACTAAATTTATAATTATTTTATCCATTCCTATTTGGAATGAAATAATTTAATATTCGCCAATCCTCTTATAGTTAACTGCAGTTACAAAGTTTTGTTGCACTTTTAAGCAAGTATCCAATTAAAAAAAGTTTTAAGTATGACATTTGTTAATTAAAAAAGTAGTATTTTTAGAATTTTTATTTGCTTTCCGTATAAAGTTTGTTTTTCTATTTATGAAGTTTAATGTCTGCTTCTGATGTTTGATTATTAATCACATCATATAACTAAAAAGAAAACAATTCCCCATATTAACAAAATTGAATCTGTGATGGAATCATGAAATGGTGCGCTAATGTTAATCAGAGTATGATATTGATATCTTATCAATAATATTGGTTTAGCATTAGTATTGGATTATTTGGAATACATAAACAAATAAAGATTGAGATAATGGCAACTTCTTTTTCCAGTTAACTACATTGAACAATCAGAAATTACTACAAATCATTTTGATTTGATATTTTATCAGATTATATCACACGATAAATGAATCTTTTAGAATAGTAATAATAAAAATTAATGGAAGTAATACATTTTTAGCTTTTTATAACATTATGCACCCTAGGGCTTCCACATATTCGTGTTTATAAACTTTTCCAAAACCTTTTCGTATTATATCAATAGTTTTAAATATTCTGTTTATTATAAAATAGTCAAAAATCATTAAAGAAGAAAATGCATAATTCATTGGACTGGTGGATAATGAAGAATTTCAATTTTCATGCCTTACTTACACAAGGTTTTGCTTGATAAAAAAACTATATTATCACTAATTGTAGAAAGGGATTATGGAGAGAATTAAAACAATAACCAAATAATTACAATTTGGAGATATGACACAAATTATATTTTTTATAAACATTATTTTACCCTTTAGAAAGGAAGGTTTTTTAGACCTATTCTATTTATAATGCATAAATAAGTAATTTTTTCAACTGTAATGAATATGCAAAGTATAGCAATGCTACCTAAAAGGTATACACAGAATATTTAACAGATATTATAATTATTAACCTTGAGAATGTATTATATTAATATATGAATGAATGTTGTTTTTTTCCTTCAATATTTTCTTTTCTTTTTTTCATTGTAAGAAAATTAATTAGCAAATAAAATGAATTAAGACTATTTTTATTTCAGATTCATTTTGGAATACAATTAATTTTGAAAGAACACAAATCTTATAAAAACATTTATAATTTTTTTTTTAAATAAGAACTTGTTCTAAACATTTCTCTATTTACATTTTAATCAAAAGCAGATACAATAGTATTGCAAATTAAAATTAAATAATACCTGATCTAAATGTAAAAAGGAAAAAATATAATTTTAATTAATTAATATATTACTTTTAATTAAAGTTTCATCTCAATATTTTGTTTAAGGTAATAAATTATCTCAAAGTCTTTATGCTCGAGTTGTTTGTCAAGAATTGAAAACAAAAAACATATGAAGTTATTGACATCATAAGTTAACTATGTCACAACCTTGACAGCTTACCAGATTGGGAACAAACAAAACAAGCTTGTAACTTTCACTACTCTGCTAATGAATACTTACCAATAAGACTAGGTGGTGATGGACCACAGAGTATGTGGCAACAATTAGAACAAATATTCCCTCTGCTGTATGGATTGTAGCTTGCTTGCCCTCTTTTAGAAGAAAACGACCCTTTGATCTAAAGAAAAAAAATTGTACGATAATCTTTAGAAGTCTGACAATTAAAACGATAAATACTATAAACAAATGGAAATAATATAAGGATTCAGATTTAAAACAAATATTTCTGACAAGTGGGTTTTGTACCACCATTCAAAAAATAATTGTAACCAAAAGACACAGCAATATAGGACCTATAGTAAGACTATAACAAAATAATATTGAAAAGCGTATGGATAGATGTGCAAAACAAAGTTAATAAAGTAGATGAACATCTTTCAAAATGATTTTGTTCTTACATCTTCATTTGTTGTCTGGTTAGAAGTTGTTAAATACGTATGAAAGCCAGCAAGGCCCATCACACTCCAGACACTGAAGAAACAGACGAGCGCTACTATAACACTAGCAGGTGATTCTTTAACCGCCTCAAAATAAGGCCTGTCCTCTTTGGCCACTGAAAATTTTTTAAATATACTAAGCAATGACAATTTCTAATAAAAACTACATAGGGGTATTAAAAAACTTACATAATATTATATGTGTAACAGCTCCAGCTAGGATGAAAACACATAGAAATGCTAATGACACAATAAACATATAAAAATACCTATAGTTTCGTTTTCCGACACAATTCCCTACCCAAGGGCAGTGATGATCAAACCTTTCTAAAACATATCAAACAAAAATGTATGTATATGAAAGTGAAAGATTATATGTGAGTATTGATAAATATGTCAAAAGTTATTAAGTTTTAAATATGTCTACTAACCAACGCAGTTATCACATAAGCTACAATGAGATGCCCTTGGAGGTCTAAATATTTTGCAAGTAAAACAATACTTTAATTTAACAGTTTGTCCCCTAATTGTTATTTCTTTAGTTCTTGGAGGAGGCCTATATGTTGGTGAATTTGTGCTGTTGGGGACCTCTGCAATAAAATAAAAATTAAATTTTGTTGCACACCAGCATCGATCCAAATATAAAATAAATTAATCTTACCAATTTGCTTTTCAATATAGGCTGCTTCATCTGGTGTAGCTCTAGGAATTATTCCTGGATCACTAAAACTAGTCCTCAACAAAGATGACATAACAAAAACAAATAACACAGCACCGACCACTGGTATTGCAGGAGTTATTCTCACAGCTAGAAATGGGCAACTGTCATGGACAAAAAAAACAAAAAACAATTAATGAAATTTATATTCAGATTTAACAGTAAAAACACAAATAAAACTTTTTTTGAAAAGGGTATATAGAACAATGGATCTCATAACTTTTAAGAAGCACATTATAATAAAGTATCTACGTACTCAAAAGCAAAAAATAAGCTACAGGTGCCCACTATTAGACCGACAGTAACAAAGAAAACACTAGTTTGTGGGGCCATCATGATCCTTCCATCACAGCAAAATTTATTTCTCCCGGGAAACAATTCCCACTTCCTCGTTACGTTTGTCATCTTCGCCTTTTCATGAGAATGATTTGCCTCTTGAGGTAAATCCACACTAACTGGCAAGTAAACAGTGTCAGCTGAAACCATGTAGAGGTTTGACAATTGGCATTCTCATGCCACCATAACCTTGATGAAACCTGCCAGAAATTTAATCATTTCCAACGATTCATAAATCGATATTATCAATAACAATTCAAAGTTCAAAAGTAAGCAGTTGAGTCATCGTCCTAGCACTTGTTAAACAACTTCAATTGATCAAAATTCAATTCCTCCATTCAGCTCAACTACCTTGCACAATGGCAAACTCAGCCATTTTGAATACTGCCTTTCAAAAAAGCAACAGGAATAATCTCCTCTGTAAATTTTAGACACGCCCATTTTAGATTCTCAGCTATGGAACTGCCACTGTTCAAAATTTATTCATTACTAACTAACTTTTTGAAAAACGGCTAATACAAACATGCTATCGTTCTGCAGTGCATTATATTTATTGTTCTACTGATAACACATGTTAGGGAAGGTTTCATTCAGTTGGTTTTCATAGCAGCGTTTCTGACATAATTCAATGGAATTAACTCGTGTTTCTGAACCTGATATCTCTGTGGTGAAAAAAGACAGAGACGATGTGAATTACCGCCTTAAAGGTTTGTTTATAAATATTTTATTCTATAAACTCCATTTCCAATGATCTGCAATAATATAAATTTTACTGTGGTTTAACTATTGAAATGTATTTCAATATTTGTTTTAGCTGGAATATTTTTAACTTCTGTAACAGCTGTCTCAGCATTAGTTGCATTTGGAATGACACTTGCAGCTGCTAAGAAAAAGGACCCTGTAATGTTTGAAAAAGGAACTCGCATTACAAGGGATTTGCAAGAGACTGGTATGGATTTAGCAATGAGAGCTTTAAAATGGGGAACATTTTATGCTGTTTCTGGATGCTCATTGGTTGCTTTTGGAGTATGGACACTCTCTGGTGCATCAAATGTTAGTTTAAGTAGATATAATATGTTATATACAGGGCATATTTTGAATATATTTGATGAATTTTTTACTCCACTAAAATGAATTTCAGTACCAGAGTCCTGAATTAATAACTAATTCAAGCCAAATTTTTGGTCATTGGCACCTAATTATATTTGTAAAAAATGTAGATCTTTAGACCAGACATCCTGTGCTAAACATCTTATCACAAATGCTCATCCTTATCACGTATAAAGTGCTTGATGCTCTGTTGATAATAAATGATCCAAAATTATGCTCTAATATTAAAGCTAATTAATATCAATAGTGATCTTTTTATTCTGGTACTACTACTTGGATAAATTATTCGATGTGCTTTATGAATTAAAAATTTGACTAAATGATCTTATTTGAATTATATTTATAGTCAATATGAGCCAAAATGAATATGAAAATTGTTTTCTACTAACTTTATTCTAGGTTGTAACTCTGGTTTATACTATAGTTATGAATTCTAGTTGTTTGTTTTGTCTAATTAAAATTTACTTTTTTTTTCACTTCTCTGTAATTAAAAAAAAAAGTTATCTCAAGTGTTAATATTGAAATAAATCTTGATCTTATCTCTCTCGGTTAACTGACCTGTTGATAACACACCTCATATATTATTGCATTTTATCAATGCATATGTTATGCATTGGGTTAAACTTTTATTATTTACAACTTCTTGTCTAATTATACTAAGATTGTTTATAATAAGATTTTAATCACATTATAAATTACTATTTTAGATGGAAGAATTTCGCTACAAGATGGGTAGTATTCTACCTCAGATTAAAAGAAATAACCCACCCATTGGAAGGACTGAATTCTCTGGTATGAATGACCTCCTTAGTTATGTATCTGAAGAATATCAGAAAGATACTGCAAAGCATAACCCTAGATAATTTTAAAGTGTCTTGTATCGTTTATTATCTGAGACACATTTCTTTTATTGTTTCAAAGTTGAATAGTATTTATAATTGATAAGACTGCTCATGTAATAAGTGTAGATAACAATTTAGTTATTACTATAATTATTAAGATAATTGATAATAATTTATTTGTTTGAAGTATGTAAATAGAACTGTTCATATAAAATGTTTTATATATTTTGGATTTTGATTTTTTTCCTTTTACTGTCAAAATATTGCTTGTGTTGCCATGTTTTAGTTTGTAATAATTTAATTCAGACAAAATTTCCAACCATAAATAATTATAAAAATTTCATTTCCTTTTTCTATAAGACTCTAAGATGCTTATATAACTAAACCGATTTATATTATAGTATCTTTTTTTTTTTCTACAATTATATTATCAAATTTAAAAAAATCTTTATCTAACATTGTGTATGTTAACTTTTTGAAGTATAAATTGAACAGATCAACTGAACTCATATTGCATATTCCTCTTCAATAATGTAATAACACTATCTTAAATAAGAAGTGTCCAAATATTTTAGTGATTTAAAAAAAGAAATATAATAATGCGATTAGACAAAATGAATTATGTTCTTAAAAACACTTGTAAAAACAGGTTATATATACTTTGAAAAACAAATAAGTGTTTTCTGATTGTCTCCTGATGTTCAATTATTGAAATGTATAAAAAAAAAAATAAGCTAATTGAACTAATGGAGTCGAGTTCCTGATCCCTGACCAGGACCAATATAAGATGAAAAGGTTTACATCTTTCTTCCAGAGACCAAACAAAAAAGCGGAACAAAGGACAGGCGGACAACAAAGGTACTTCCCTACTACAAATTGCAGAGAAATGAAATATCTAACGGGAGGTAGAAAAAATGAGAAAGAACCAAGCTAAGGAGTTCCTAGGGGATGGGGAGGTAACTGATTGGCAGTGCAGCTTGGGCACTAGTGTTTGAGATAGTGTACCAGGAGCACCTAGGCTAAGAACTTCTGAAGAGAGAAGCAAGCTGCTGAGAGATGATTCTGAAAGGAAGATGTATACGATCTAGAGGACATTAGTGAAGCAGACCATTCCACAAGCCATAATACTCATTTAGATAGTGGCTGTGTAAACTTCTTTTTTGCAATTAGTAGCTTTATAGAATTAAGTTATCAGTCCATTTTTCAATCACTCCTACTCATACTAGTGGATCCAGGATTTAATTTGGGGGGAGGGGGCTTCATCCCGACAGATTTATTTTTCATATATACAAAAATAATTACTTTGAAAAAAAAAAAGAAAGAAATTAATTACCTACATGAAATAGTGTTTAAGCACGGGCGGATCTACGGAGGGGGGTGGCTTTCGGGCTGAAGCCCCCCCCAAAATGGAAAAATATAACCATGTTTTATGGGGGAAAAATTTTTAAAAATACCTCTTAAAGTATTATTGTTCGTGTAATTACATTTAAAAGTACTTAAGGAATAACTTAAACACCATCTCATATAGGTAGTTAGTTTCTTTCTTCTGTTTTTCCAAAGGAATTATCGTTATTTTTATGAAAAAAAAGGTTTCGGGCTGAAGCCCCCCCCCAAAAAATTAAATCCTGGATCCGCTAGTGTGTTTAAATGATTCTCGAAGTCCTATTGAATGTAATTACACGAACAATAATATTTTAAGAGATAGTTTTTAATATTTTTTTCTATGAAATATTGTTATATTTTACCGTTTTGGGGGGTTTCAGCCCGAAAGTAAGCCACCACTTGTCAAGAGAAAATATTAAAAAAATTATGTTCCTCTTACCGTTATTTAAAAAAAAAAGTTTTAACTTATCCAAAACATTAAATCCTGAATCCTCTACTGATCTGTGGTATGATAGTGTGTTTTATTAACATGTCTTAGTTAAAAAAAAGAAATGTTCGATAATATATACGTATATTAAATCGTATTGATTTTTTTACTTTTATTGTCTTGTTTATGGAATACATGGAAGAGATGCTATTCAGATCGTTCATTTCGAATCAGAGTTTTCGTCAGAAATAAACGTTTTAAGGTCTTCCGAGTCTGAATGAATAAGTTTCGGAAAATGGAGTGTGTTGATGTGAACATCATAGACACACTTAAAAACGGAACACACTTAAAAACGGAAAGTCTTTGTACGTATTTAAGGTTGGTATGAATGCTTATACCAATAATGCAACTCTTTTTCGTTACTACCAACTAATCGCCATTTTATATATTTGATTTTATAAATTTCATTTTCGCCTATATAAAATATATTTATACTTGTACTTATCAAATATATTTTTCCAAATTTATTTTCGCCAGTTCACCAATTTGGTGAAAACTGCTCTAATGATTAATCTGATTAAAATAGTCCGAAGGGATAAAAATATTATAATGTAAGGTAAATTTATCTAATTTAGTTTACGTTACGTTTCATTCTCATACGTTACGTTCTCTAACAGGGCTTAATTGACTAATTTTCAATATTAGGTTCCTCTGAAGTAACTTTAATTTTTTTTATTTGATTCAATTAACCATTTTCAATTGATCTCTAATATAAAAAATAGTTAAATATAAAATATGAAAGAATTTGATGGTTAAATAAATTAGAAATAAGAGATCGTAACAGGGAATAGTTGTAATGAAGGAACCAAAAGGATACGAGAGCGCACCCGAGCTCGCCCGAAGATTAGAACAGGGTTCCATAGTAACATTAGCTTGATATAACACAGACTCCGGCAATATTATTCACGTACACATATGAGGTTTTTATAAATGATTTCGTTGGTAATATTTAATATTTAATTATATAGATTACAGCGATATGAATATTAAAATTTATATGTATAAGAGTACTTAAACCAATAAAAATAACCCCAATGAAATATAAATAAATATAGTGTTTATAATTTTTACTTTCACTTCTCCTTTGTCCAAAAAATACTTATTTCTGCTAAGAAGAGGGCGATAAGTGAAAATTATGTGATGGGCGCACCACACCAGATTTTTGCAATAAATTTGAAAAAATATATTCAATAAGTACAAGTATAAATATATTTTATATAGAATGTTTTTATTGAAATTTTTACATGGACTGTGAAAACGTTTTATTTTTATTTGGAGGTTGTATAAAACTCATAAGAAATCATAAGTATTTTTCAGTTTTTATCATTATTCATTTTCAGCTGAAAAAGTTCTAGAAATGCACCTATGTTAAGGAGGACTAACTTCATTACATACTGTCCCCATACTCTCATGTGTAATGTATACAAATTGTAATATATCGTATTTTTTTTTGTTTAGATATTTTCAAGTATATAAGCACATAACAAAATAAACAAAAAAAAAAAAAAAAAACCAATCTTACAACTGTCAAACCTTTATATATATTTATTTTTAAATATCCAATATTATATTTATTCGTTTCACAATAATTATGTTGAATTTGTACAGATAATATAAACGATCGCCATTTATTATTTTTTTTTTTTTTGTACATCGCCCTTCCCTTATCAAAATGGAAAGCCTGCACCTATGTTAGGAACGTTTCTGTTTTAGTGGGAAGCACTAGCGGATCCAGGATTTAATTTTGGGGGGGCTTCAGCCCAAAAGTTTTTTTTTTTTCATATACATATAACAATAATTAATTAGAAAAAAAAGAAATTAACTACCTATATGAAATGGTGTTTAAGAGGTTCTTGGAGTCCTATTAAATATAATTAAACGAACAAGAATACTTTAAGAGATAGTTTTTAATATTTTTTTCTGTAAAACATGGTTATATTTTACCATTTTGGAAGGGGGGGCTTCAGCCCGAAAGCTCCTCCCCCCCCCCCGTAAATCCGCCTATGGTGGGAAGATAAAATGCTTAATAATAATAATAAGTCTGGTAAATACAACCTAATTTATTTTTTAAGTTATATACAATTAGTTTGAAAGTTTTTGTTGCTTAAATTGATTTCATAACTTATCTGTTATTGAAATGATTTATTTTTAAAACTCTGCTTTTCGTTCCATAGTAGGAGGGAAATACCTGCCCCGAAGTTTTCTCGCCTGGCTGTAAATAGTGCATATAGGTACGTGTGTGTTTATTTTGCTTTTTTAAAATTTCTTTATTTAGTTGTTATTTTATTTTATATACTTTTTGATTATTATTTAGTTGTCATTTTATTTTTTTGTACATATAGTGTGAATGTGATCTTACCTCCCTATAACCAATGTCCAAGTGCCAGAATGTTATATTATACAATAAATAATAACAAATAACAAATATAAAAATTAAAACATGTGTTTCATGTGCTTTCAAAACCTATTAGCTATTAAAATTTCAATGTTCAAGAAAGTCATGAATCAGTTTTATTTCTACCTTACAATGTTAATAATCATACTTGATATGTTAGGTGATCCAGTTGGAACTGCGCGTTGCGTTGGTTGTCCAACCGAAATGAATCCGAACGACACGGAATTAATAAAATATCTTCAAGAAGTAATAGAGGAAAAAAACAAAGAGTTACCTGAGAAAATGGTATTGGTGCAAATAACGAAGGCATCAAGTCAGGTAGTTGCCGGTTTAAAATATGTGGTCGATTTTGAAGCAGTTAGCGATACAAAGAAGGAAACACATTCCTGCCACACTGAATTTATTTCGAAGCCATGGCTTAGACCAAAACTAATAATATTGGTTTATAGTTGTTCAAAAAAGACCGATCAGTTATTGGACTTCTATATGAAAATAGCAGAAGATAAAGTATAAGATCTGATCTGAGAGAAATTGGTTTTACTTCTAATAGAGCCAAAACAAATATTACGAAGACTGTATTTTTTTAAGCTTTTGGCCTGGTATATGAAATATGAAAGAATCTATTTTCTGATTTCAAGAGATATCCCTCAACGTTTTACTAATTTTAGCAGTCAAACGATTTCTTAAAATTTTGACTTTATATTGAATATCCTTATTTCGTTGATATTACATGTACATGAATGTTTCATGTTATTT